GTGTCGGGCTCTGTGCTGACAGCTCAGAGCCTGGAGCCTGTTTCGGATTCTGTGTCTCCCTCTCTCTCTGCCCCTCCCCCGTTCATGCTCTGTCTCTCCCTGTCTCAAAAATAAATAAACGTTAAAAAAAATTTAAAAAAATAAGAATGTGTGGAAAAAGAACTCCAATATACATTGAGTGAACCATATGTATCATGAGTGAAGATGGTAAACAAGGTGACAAGTAAATCAGGCAAAAAATGACAGTAGTAGGAAAAAGTGTAGTGTATACATATATGAAAGTTTCTGCTATGAATTTAAATTGTGTCATATAACAAAGTATTTTCTCAACATGTTTGGTCATGACCTATTATGAAATAAATAATAGATTATAAAAAAGTATATTTCACATATATATGCATGCATGTAAAATAATTAGAGGAAATTACATCAGTGATTACCTTTGCAATCTGGAATTATGAATTGCTGTCATTTTGTCTGCCCCATTTTATTCATTACACATATTTTCTTCAATATACAAAAGAAAATTATCTTTAAAAATTAACTGCTTTCAAAATATTAAGATTAAAGGGCACTATCTAAATGGATGTTGTTCTGCATTGCATTTTTAACATCAGGAGCACTGATTTTTCTTTCAATATTTTTTTCTGCCAACTAAACTTTTACATTTCTGTGAGGGACAAAATTCACAAGCCATGAAGGGGAATTTAGTTACCATTTATTCCTAAATTACACAATCTAAACTGCCTCTTTGTTATACAAAACAATTTGGAAGAATACTGCAATATGACACCACAAGTATACTGGATGGTGCAACATACTGAAGAATTATCTGGTAAAAAGTATCTAACCTTATAAAAGAGAGAAAGCAACACTGAGGTAAAAGGGAAAAAAAATGTAAAATCTAAAACCATATGAAAAGTTGAGAGTTTATAAATACTCTGCAATCAAAATGAAAATTAGCCAATTTTCATTTAACAGTCATATTGTAATCATAATCACACTCACAAGCTCTGTTATTTTTAAATTCCATCCAAGTTTGAGATTTCTTTTCTAGAATATTGTAGAATATTGTCCTTATCTAGTCTACACACACACAGCACAGGTAGGTGACTCATCACATTGTGAAACGTCATTGATTTCATACACTGAATTATACTCCAACAAGAACCAGATGAGCCAGGTATGGCCCCAGCCTTTAAAAACATCTTATTGACTGGAGATATCTTGACTATCACTGAACTCAATTCACTAGTATCTCATTTTATCATCTGATGGTGAAATATGTTTGCCATTTCACATTCTCCCTCTTAATGTATGTTTTCATTTCTAGACTCACTGCCATGGCTCTGGTTCATATCTTTACTTCCAGAACTGTTAATATAGTTCTAAAATATTCTTTATTTCCAACCCAACCTATTTTAATTACTTTCTCCTGATTATCCATCTGTCCTATGGCTCAAATGAGTCCTAACTTCCTCTAGAACTAAAGTACATTTTTACAATGTAGTTTTCAAGCTTCTAAAAAAATGAGCTGCAATCCCTTCTTTCTTACCATCCTAACCCTCCCCACCATCCTGCTCATAAAATATTATCTCTAGCTACATTAATCTACTCATCATTTTCTGAGTAAGCCATGTATTCATCTGTGGACTCCCTCCCACTATATATTTTCAACAGTAGAGCCTTTGCCTCATGCAATTCATCCTTCAGACGTAGGTCGTGCAATATTATGCAATATTAACCATGACATTTTTCCTGACCAATGCTTCTATAAGTCACAGAAATCACATAATTTAGAGCTGGAAGGGCCCTAAAAATTCCTAACCCAGTGATTCTAAACCAAAAGTTACTATACTTCTAATGACATAAGGTGTACCTAAAGGTAGACCCTCGTAACATTTATAAGAACGCATTCTTCTTCAATTCCACTGCATGCAATACAATATGCCAGAATTATCTTTCTGACTCTACGTGCAGGATCTGGATTCTGCTTCTCCTAATCCTGACCACAGTAGAGTGTCTTTATTTTAAAAAAATATATATGAGGCGCCTGGGTGGCTCAGTCGGTTACGTGTCCAACTTCGGCTCAAATCATGATCTCACAGTTCATGAGTTCAAGCCCCGTGTCAGGCTCTCTGCTGTCAGCACAGAGCCTGCTTTAGATCCTCTGTCTCCCTCTCTCTACTCCTCCTCCATGCTCTTTTTTTTCTCTCTTTCAAAAATAAACAAAAATTTAATATATATATATTATCAATTTTTTTTCATTTTATAATTATCACAATTAAGGTAAGAATAAATCTTTAAAGTACAAATGTAGACAGTCTAGGCACTGTAATACTATCCAATATGGTAGTCATTAGCTATGTGTGGTTATTACATTTAATTAAAATTAAAAATTCACTTCCTTAATCTTACTAGCTACAGTTCAAAGGCTCAATAATCATATGTTACTAGTGGCTGCCCAACCAGATAGTGTGGATGTAGTACTTTTTTTAGTTAAAAAAATTGTTTTGAAAGTTTTATTTTATTTCACTTTATTTTTTTCCAGATATCTCAAATCCTCATATTATTCCTTCAATGGAAAACAAAACTTTGGTCTCTAACTCAAACCTGTTCTCTTTGTCAGCACTCCATGTCCCAAATCTCTCTTGTTTTTCCTTTTCTCCCCCCTCTTTTAAAACTTGAGATGTACTGGGGTGCCTGGGTGGCTCAGTTGGTTAGGTGTCCAACTTTGGCTTAGGTCATGATCTCACGGTTCATGAGTTCAAGCCCCGCATTGGGCTTTATGCTGACAGCTCGGAGCCTGGAGCCTGCTTTGGATTCTATGTGTCCTTCTCTCTCTGCTCCCCCACCTCTCTCTCTCTCTCTCTCTCTCTCTCTCTCTCTCTGTCTCTCAAAAATAAACAAAGGGGTGCCTGGGTGGCTCAGTCCGTTAAACAACCGACTCTTGATTTTGGCTCAGGTCATGATCTCATGGTTCGTGAGCTCAAGCCCCACACTGCGCTCCATGCTGACAGCATGGAGCCTTCTTGGGATTCTCTCTCTCTCTTTTTCCCCTCCACTGCTTGTGTTCTCTCTCTCTCTCTCTCTCTCTCTCTCTCAAAATAAATAAACTTAAAAAATAAATAAACAAACATTAAAAACATTTTAATATAAAATTGAGATATATTTAGTTGACATACATTAGCTCCAGGTGTGTAACATAATGCTTCGATATTTGTATACATTGCAAAATGATCACAAGTCTAAACATCCATCACTACACATAGTACAAAATTACAAAATTTCTTGTGATGAGAACTTTTAAGAACTACTCTCTTGGCAGCTTTCAAATACAAAATACAGTATTATTAACTATAGTCACCATGCTACACATTATATTCCCATGACATTTATTTTTTAAATAGAAGTTTTATACATTCTGATCATCTTCACCCATTTTTAAAATCACAAAGATTCTACTGGACAGTGTTTGGTAGAGGAATGCTCTCAGACTGCCCACATTAAACCCAGGATAACTGATGCTGCTTTTGAAACATATCCCATTTCTTAGACCTCAAGAATTGTCATGGAGCCGTACCTGTGAGCTAAGGTATAACAAAATCTGAGCTTTGAGACTCATGAACTCCTAAAGTGATCAAGTGGAAGGAGGCCCCTGCTTTTTCCACAAACCTTAAAATTGGTATGCCCTGACCTTTATTCCAAACGAGCAGCATGTGAATGGACAGAGAACAAGGAAGTCCTAACAGCTCCCCTCTTCAACAAGAACAGGATCTGAGATCAGGTTTACCCCACTCTAAAAACAAGTCCTTGATGAACTAGAGCCAATGTCAGATTAATATGGGTATCTGGTGCCACTATGAGAGACATTTTGGACATTGAGTATCTAAGTACGATGAAAATCAGAATTCTACAACCTGTAAAGAGACAAAGAAGAGAAAGAGAAGAGAAATTTAACTACCCTAATTAGTTCCATGGAGAGAGACTCCCTCTAGAAAGCAGGTGTAGGATAGGGGACTCAGAAAAAAGCCACCCTTATAAAATCAGTGGCATGTGCACATGCTACCTCAGTGCATCAATGCAGGTTATAACAACAGGTTGTAATGTCTTCTGCTGCTTGTTTGATGGACTTGGAATTAAATCATAATCCCTAAGGCAATGTCTACTGAGCTGGCTTGATTGATATACTCCTTTGATCCTGAGTGTTCTTTGTTCTTAAACAATCTCTCTAAAGAATCTATGGTTTCCTCCCTGTAGCCAGTGTGACCTTTTACGTTATTATCTCCAAGGTCTCTCTGCCCTTGTAAGAGTCACCCACAATGCTTGATTTTCTTCTTTTTATTTGACAACTTGTTCTAATTTCTACCACATTCCCCTCTTTCATATTTGCAAATCCACCCAAATCCTACACTCAAACTCCAATGCTTTAATCACTGAATGAAATCCTATTCCATATGGACTGTATATCAAAGACAAGTGTTAACATTTAAACTGATTCCTCGATTTGTTGACATCTTTCCTCCCTATTAGGATTTCTCAGAATTTATAGCCTCTAGAATTATGACTGTGGCAGTATGACCCAGCACTTGGGCTAAAACCATTCCATACTCCCATTTTGGCCCAATATGGCGAAATGGCCTGTAATGCTTAATGCCCAGCTCAGTCCAAATTGTAATACTTCCTTCCACTCATACAAATTCTACACTTTTCCCAAAGACCACTTCAAGGCTTCCTTTCTATGTGAAACCTTCCTTAACCGCACACAATCATTGTAGATTTCCTGTTCTTTTGACCTCTTATAAAACCTGCATTTAGTTCCACACATCAATTATATATGCTAATAATTCCCCCTAATTTCTTGAAGGAGTGGCTTGTTTATTTACTCAGACATCCAGCTTTTTATAAAAATGTATAAAAGTCACTCTCCCAGATGATAAAAGTACAACAGGTAAATAGGTTTCTATTCCAAATCTTAAAGAGCCCACAATTTACAAAAGAGTAGTGAGTAAGAATGCAAAATACACTTAATTGAATAATTCAAGTGATAACTACTGGAAGGAAGAAATTCTTTAATAGTTTAATTATGATGTAAATAAGCTCTTTAACAGTTTAATTATGATGTAAATAAAAGGCTCTGGATGGTAATGAGGTGGTATTTAAAACTGTATTTTCAAGAAAGAACAAATTAAACTTCAGGGTTAGGACAAGTATAAGTATCAGCCAGGTTTCGTTTCTGGGGGTGCAGTGCAGAGGCAAGGCACAGAATGAAAGAGTAGCAGATAATGACTGCATGGAGAAAGATGGCTTTGTTGCATGAGAAAGCAGGGTGAGCACAGGAAGAAAAAAGTAGCATGCAGAAAGAAAAGGATCATGAAAGGAAGAAATGTTCGTACATAAACACAGACAAACATGAAAATACTCAAGGCTATTCACTTTGTGAGGAGGAGTTCAGTGACACAACAGTGGACAGAAACCATCATCTAGTTTCCTGGATTAGGGCTCACTAGAAGTTTCAGGGACTGTAAGGACTATAGAGAACCATAGAGAGAAATTAATACAACCAGTATTGATGAGTCAAAGTTTTTTAAAGCAAAATAAATGTATATTCAACGGGCACTCTAAGAATTTTTAATATACTATATGCTATTTCAAAGCATACAATGAAAGAATCCATTTAGAAATTGAGAATTCCTTAACTTTTTACCTTTTTGTAGATGAGTCCAATTACAGCTGTCTTAATTTTTGCTGAAGTGAGCATGTTAAAACGTTGATATTGCTGAAGGATCAAGGTTTGCAAAAAGACTACAACAAAAAGTGCCAAAGCATAACCATAGCCTCTCCATCCAAAATCTTGGCGATGTTCACAGAAAATAATCATTTGCCTGAATGTCATACAAAAATTGAGAAAGGGGAAGAAATGTTAAACATCTAATAGTTAAATGCTAATTAGAGTTAAGTGTTTTCAAACTGTCAAATACACACACACACACACACTTATTCTTACTTGTAGAATTTAGTGATTCATTACTTAAATATAACATCCAATGCTCAGCACAACAAGTGCCCCCATTTATTTTTAATTCAAGTATTATATAATAAAATTAATAGAATCAACAGTTACTTTCAGATGCTTTTGAGTGCAAGGTTATTTTCTAGTTTTCATATGGTAATCTCATCAACTAACTGTTCTGGTCTAACTTCATCATAAAAGTTAAGATACAGAAACTTAAAGCTACTTTTTTATCATAATCATGCATTTTGTTAAATATAGGGAAACATGACAGTTAAAATTTAAGTAGTGAATCTCTTAAAATGGCACATAGGTTTTTTTCAAAGGTCTGAATTATATCTCACCTCTTATTATTACGTTTATCCTATCCAATTCCCCTCTATTCTATCTTCCCTTATTTTCTCTTAAGTTTGGTGAAGGCAGGGCCATGATATCAGGTCAATGCTGGGGACAATGCTAGACAATGGGGACGGTTCTAATCATAACGATCTTGGTTGTTTATTGTCCTTCAACTATACACTGGTTAAAACTCAGAATGCCTGATGTCATTGTTAATAACATTATAGTGGTACTCTTAACCTTTTTTCAACTGCCTCTATGTGACTAGTAATAATAATATTTTTAAAAGACTACATATACTCTACATAATGGTGGAACAACTTGGATATATTCTTTCTATACTACAGATTAATACGTCATTTATTTTGCAGGCTCAGTTCTTGACTTAAGTATTTCCTGTTATTTTATAGGTAAAAAGTATAATATTAGAAGATGTTTTAGAAATATACCTTTTTTTACTCTGAGTTCTGGAGATACAGAAATGTGCTTTGTCATTGTGAATAGCCATTTTGAATGTACTTAAGGTTATACTCACAGGAAGCCACATGTAATTAGGTAAGACTATACCTAAATTATTTTAAGAACACTGAATTTAAAAATTCATTGTTTAGGGGCGCCTGGGTGACTCAGTCGGTTAAGCGTCTGACTTCTGCTCAGGTCATGATCTCACAGCTCATAGGTTTGAGCCCCATGTCAGGCTCTATGCTGACAGTTCAGAGCCTGGACCCTGCTTCCGATTCTGTGTCTCCCTCCCCCGTGCTTGCTCGCTTTCTCCCTCTCTCTCTCTCTCAAAAATAAACTTAAAGGGGTGCCTGGGTGGCGCAGTCGGTTAAGCGTCCGACTTCAGCCAGGTCACGATCTCGCGGTCCGTGAGTTGGAGCCCCGCGTCGGGCTCGGGCTGATGACTCAGAGCCTGGAGCCTGTTTCCGATTCTGTGTCTCCCTCTCTCTCTGCCCCTCCCCCGTTCATGCTCTGTCTCTCTCTGTCCCCAAAATAAATAAACGTTGAAAAAAAAATTAAAAAAATAAATAAATAAATAAAAATAAACTTAAAAAAATAAAAAATAAAAAATAAAAATTCATTCTTCATGTGAGTTTACATTTTTAAAGTTTACATTTTTAAAAAATAAAAAATTAATGTCTAAGCTTGGATCTATTTTATTCGCACCTTGGACAGCATATGGGTGAAAAATTAAAAGCAATCTGTGTTGCTTTATAAACCAAATTGCTTTATAAACCAAGTACTTCAAAATATTAACTTTATTAAAATTGTACTTTGGAATCAAATATATACCAACCAGTGTTTCTAAAATTACTATTAAAACCTCCAGTCATTGAAAATTATTTGGAGCATTGTATATTCTCAATGACACTATTAAATTATTCCATACCCCACCTAGATAAAATAATAGGAGGTTTGGTACTTATCAGTGGATCTGTATCAGATGCTATCCACTGGGACACCAAATTATTTTTACAAGAGCAACTTACTGAATGTTTTCTTGGTCTGGAAATTAAATTTCCTGAAAGAAGTGCACTATTCTTATTGTGGATGTATCTACCTATCAGACTTTTTCCTTTCTCATAAAATCAAACAACTAAATGACTATAATAAGTATCATAGTGGGTCTACACATATAAATCAGGAAGTACTAAAAATAATCTGTGATCAATACATGGTGAAGACCATAAAACCATATTCATCATATCAGATGTGAATACTCATTTTTTTGTTTGACTAATATCATAATAAAATTCATAGAAAGGGGGAAAATAGTAAGCACAACAATCAGCAAGAAACATGTTTCTTCTAACAGTAAATTAATGAAAGTGTTATTTTTAGATGTTTGATTATTACATATATGAGTCATGATAACAGGACAATATATTTTCATCCTTACAAACAGTCCTGTCTAGTACTTTTCCTTATCAAAAGAAAAAATAGACATCTCAAAATTAGCTAAAAAAAAAAATAACTCCCCCAGGTTCGGATTATGATCATACAAACTCATAAAATTCTTTCTTTTTTTATGTTTCAACTTTTTATTTACATTCTAGTTAGTTAACATATAGTTAAACTCATAAATTTTTTTCTGATCATTTATTCTTCAATGTGGAAATATTAAGGCTATTCATCTACTTTAGAATGAGAATCTCTTGATTCTCTTGATTCTTGAAAAGTATAACTTTGGATAAGCCCATTTATTTAGTATTCTATTGAGGAAATGTATTTGAGTCCTATGTGCCAGGCTCTGTGCTAGGTGCTAAGGACACAGACATTGAGTAACACATGATCCTTTACCAGGAGGAGCTGGAAGTCTAGGCAGGAAGAAATACACATCAACTCATTTCAATACAATATTGACACTACTGTTTTGCAGGTATGGTCAAGCTAGAATGTTACAAAAGTATGTCATAAAATTATGGGCACCATTGTGTAACCCTTAGGCAAGGAGTTAGCAATTCTTTAACACCCTATTATAGACTGCAAATATTTGGAGAAGATAGAGACCCTGAATTGCCATCACCTATAGCTATTTTAGAAAACAGTAACCACAGTGAGATTCTAGAATGAGTTTTTGAGCAGTAGTCATTGGAAAATAGGAATCAGAGCATGCCTAAAAATGGCTGGGAATGTCTTACTACACCTTTCACTGAGAAGTTAAACCTAAGTATTCTAATTCTCCTCCCCTTGGCTCTGGGCTAGTTTAGGGGCTTGTGTGACCAAACTAATGTGGCAGAAGTGACACTCTGGCTCTTCTAAGCCTAAGTCCTAACAAGACTTGTCTGAGCCTCTTGGCATGTTCACTCTGAAAAAATCCAGCTGCCACGTGAGAAGTTCAACTTACCAGAGACTCCTGTGTTCAACCTAACCATTTGGAGAGGCAATGGAGAGATAGAGACAGACAGACAGACAGACAAAGATTGATATCAGGCCATTTCCACCCATCATAGCCCAGGCATCAGTATGTAAGTTAAGAAGCCATCCTGGACATTCCAGCACTAGTACCCATAAAAAAGAACCAAAGTAACCCAGCTAACAGCCAGAGCCAAGGCCCACAAAATTTGTCTCTATTTGAGCTGCTACAGGTCTCTCCAGCCATTCAAGCTACTCAGCTAAAGCCACCATCATGGTGGATCAAAGAAAATCCATCCCTCTCTGAATACACAAGATTATGCCTTGTTTTTAATACACGAGATTATGCCTTGTTTCTGTAGCGCAGTGATTACTGTGTTTGCCTCACAGATACTTGTGAACATAATCATCGTTGTTTTATGCCAATAAATTTTGACATGCTTAATACTATGGCAATAGATCACCAGAACAGGGCAGGAGAGGAAGATGCTGTTTAATATACATTTCTGATAGATTTCTGGCCAAAGATGAGGTAACTCTATGGCAACTCCTTAAAATAGCCGGGATATATAAGGGTGAGCAGCAGAGGTAGAGGGGAAGGAAAGGTATGTTACCTTGTCTGCGGGGGATTTTAATCCAGCAGACATTTGGATTATATTTCCATAGGCAAGGGAACCAGACTTTGGGGTGAAAAATGACAGGACCAGTTTTCTGATGGCAAAGAGATATCTTCTTGCCCTAGATTCTCCAACACCATTCTCTCTGGGTTCTCCTCTCTTTGCACTATGCACTCCTTCTCACTGTCCTTTTGTGAATTTCCCTATCTTCATTAATTCCACACACTGGAATAGCTGATTATCTACAGAGATGTTTACTTCTCCTTATCCATGGTAAGGTGGTCTCATCCAGAAAAAATGATTTGACATACCCAATCTAATTTGTTGGAACAGTTCCCAATTTTATTATCTCAGCTAATATCTTTCTTAACTCCAGACTTAAGCTTACTCAATCTTTTTGGATTGGCTAGACGGCTGTCAGGGATCCCCAACGCCACTCCCTAGTTAAATGATCCATTAGAAGGACATATAGCAGTCAGCATCTAGTTATACTAATGATTATGATTTATTATGGTGAAACTATACACAAAAAATCAGCAAAGAGAAAAGGTACATGTAGTAAAGTCCAGGAGAAAACAGATATAAGCTTCCAAAAGTCTTCTCTCAGTAGGGTCACACAAAACACACTTAATTATCCTGGCAACTAGTTGTGGCCGCATATGTAAAATGTTGTCTACCAGATAAGCTCATTAGAGAGTCAGTATCCAGGGCACCCTTTTCCTAACATATGCCAAAATTCCAGACTCCCAGAAGGAAAGCAGGTATTCAGCATGAATCGTATTGATTGTTAAGCAGTTTGGACGTACTGAGCCACTGTTAACAGTTATGGTAGCAGGAACCCTCCTGAAATGCAAGTTCCAGTTGCCTACCAAAAGTCACCCCTCTAAGCAGACCTTCCAAAGAATAGCAGTCAGGCTTTCCAAAGGACAGCAGTCAGTCAGTTCATTCTTTCCTGCAAAATGGCTAATATGTATTTCAAATTTAGCAAGTCCAAAAGGAAACCCCACACCCTACTCTACTCTTTCCTGAGCCTTCTATATCTCAGTAAATGGTGTCTCATTTACCTTGTGACTTCAACCAAAAACTCTGAAGGCATCCTTGATTCCTCCCCTCTCTCAACTTACATTCAATCCATCAGTATATGATGTTGACTCCACCTTTAAAATAGAGCCAGAATCTAACTACTTCTTATCACCTTCGTTGCTACAACCTAGCTGAAGCCACTACTGACTTTTGCCTGGATTATCTCAGTATTTCAACTGGTGATACTTTTACTTTTCCTCCTTTTTATATTATTTTCTGCATAGCAGCAGAGTGATCCCTATAAAACTTAGGTCTAATCATATCAATTCCTGCTCAAAATTTCCAACGTTTTCCCTCTTAACACAGAATAAAAGCCTATTTCCCCCATCATATTCCATAAGTTCCTTTAAAATCTTGTTCATTCCCAGACCTTTCTTACTTCTGATTTCTTCTCCAATTCTTTGTTCTAGCCTCACTTATCTCCCATGAGTCCTCAAAGACACCAAGCATGCACCTGCCTCAAGGCTCTTGCCCTTCTTGTTCTTCCTATTTGCAATAGATATGGTCTTGGCTTCCTCTCTAACTTCCTTCAGGACTTTGTTCAAATGTCACCTTATCACTAGTATCTTCCCTAACTTCTTTAAATTAACATAGCACTTCGATCTCCCTAGAGAGGCATTTCCTACCTCTCCTTGTTGAATACTTTGTCCTTAACACTGATTATTTCTTAATATCACTTATATTTATTCATTTGTTTACTATTTGTCTCACCCCTCTGAGTGTCATCAGAGCAGGGACTTTTTGACTTTTGTCTACCCCTAGGGTCAATCAAGCACAGTAGCGTGTAGTAAGTACTCAATAAATACCGGACAAAATACAAGCCTGGACATTATCTAAGAGTCAAGTAACTAAGGATTAATTCTGTTTTCATGAATTGAATAGCTCTTAAAAACTCCAACAACCTGGAAATGTATTCAATACAAAAATATTATTATAGGTCAATAAAAAAATTTGTTTTTCCTTCATATATATCATTTCATTTTCTGAATATACATCTAAAACAGAGTTCCTAGATTTTAGTCATAACTCTGGCATTTTCTAGCTCTGTGAAGTTAGGCAAATTACTTAAACCTCTCTGTTTCTGCATCATGATAATGATTGTAATAATACTTCCTATCTCATAGGATGGTTGTAAAGATTGAATAAGATAATTAATATAAAGAATTTAGAACAGTGTGTAGTACACAGTTGGCTTCAGTAAATATTGACTATATTATCATCATTCACATTTGTGTGAATGGCAAAGCTAACAGAATGTCCATATCCTAAGTAAAATTTGCAATAAGGTCTTTTCCTACTCTTTTTTAGTACAACTCTTAGAGTGAAACACTTGCTTATCATTTGCTTATCATTTAACTGTAGAGAGAGTAAAAAAAAAAAAAAAAGAAAAGACTACAACTTACTTCATTATGAGTGGGCTAGTGAAGGACAAAATATCAGCAAACACTTTGAATAAAGCAACTTGAATCAGGACAAACTTAAAGGTGTTCCACAATGCATAGAGCAGAGATGGTTTCCTGGCACGTGCCTCTTTATGAAAGGATGCCTACATAATGAAAGAAAATAAGAAACCATGAGAAAATTGGACAGAGCAAATACAAGTAAAAATGAAATATATATATAAACCAACCATAAAATTAGTAATGTAACCCAAAGATAATAAAATAGGGGCACCTGGGTGGCTCAGTCACCCAGTAAGTGTTCGACTACTGATTTCAACTCAAGTCGTGGTTTCACAGTCATGAGATTGAACACTGCATGGGGCTCCACATGGAGCCTGCTTAAGATTCTCTTTCCCTCTCCTTCTGCCCCTGCACCCCCACTCATGCTCTCTCTCTTTCTCTCCCTCTCAAAAAATATAAATAAATAAATAAATAAATAAATAAAACAAAAATAATAAAGTAATAAGAAAGGGATAAATTCAGTTAAACTTGAAAATATGACCTGTATCATTGGTAAAGTATGTCTCCAGAACGCCTGATATTACTTATATCATGGGGTATAAATGTACAAGAGAAATAGTTGTATTTTATTACTTTTGTGAATGTTGAAACTTTCATTAAAATAATTAATATAAATAGAGTTTTATCTTCAAATTATATTTTCTTTTTGGGAATTCTAAAGAGGAGATATGTGTGCATATGTGATACAAGATATGGAGTACCTGACCCTGCACCATAAACTTTGGCCATGGTTGCCATATTACTTACTTGGACCAATAGATATGAGGCCATGAGATATAGAAACCATCTTTGCCATGATAGTTGAGCAAAAGATACTGGTGAAAAGCCAAAGATAACATATCAACACATTGTTCTTGATATTAAAGGGAGGAGATGCTGAATAATTTTATGACATAAATTAGTTGCAATAAAAATCAATTGTACTTATGAAAATGGCTTGTCATTTCACATATTTTAGGAACTTTCTAAATTAATAAGAATATCTCACATTTGGAAGAAGCTTTTTCTAGTTTTAGGTAGTAATTAGGTACTTAAGATTTAAGAATTAATTACCTTGGGGCGCCTGGTGGCTCAGTCGGTTGAGCGTCCAACTTCAGCTCAGGTCATGATCTCACAGTCCATGAGTTCGAGCCCCACGTCAGGCTCTGTGCTGACAGCTCAGAGCCTGGAGCCTGCTTCCAATTCTGTGTCTCCCTCTCTCTCTGTCCCTAACCTACTCATGCTCTGTCTCTCTCTGTCTCAAAAATAAACAAAAACATTAAAAAAAAGAATTAATTACCTTTATTTCTTGCCTCTCTTGATTCCTTAAAACTTCCTTCCTCCATTGTTTTTCAAAGATGGGACACACAATATAGGAAGAATCACTTTCATTTAGTTCAAAAAGATCTTCTCTTTCCAAAGGTTTCTTATATCCTAAAAGAATTATTCTAAAAATGAAAGAGTAAGGTAAACAATTCAGCAAAACTAATAATCAACTTAAAAATAATTTTTCATGCATTTATTTTATTCTTTGATTTATAAATTATTTTTTTAATCAGGATGGAATGATTAGACTGTATTTTGGAAAGTCATACAACTTATCCTGCAGTTGAACAATGTGTAATAATCATTTGTAGCTTTTAGAATTATTGGGACATCCATTTATTTAGTGAAACACTAAATTTACTCATTTCATATTGGAGTTACCTACTACTTACCTACCTTACTGAAATTTAAATAGTTAACATTCACAGTAAGGTGTATTCACTCCAAAACCCCAAACTAACTGCTTTTTAGTCTTGAATAAGAGGAGAAATGGATCCAACCTCTGCATCTGCAACTTCTCCTATTCCACCGGGACATTATATATATACCCTTTGCCATTTGACTTTACAAACTGTCCAACTAGATGTGGAGTACCTGTTTGTGCCCCATAAACATCAGCCTTGGCCATATGACCTATTTTGACCAATAGACTATGAGCCAAAGTGACAGTGTCATTTCTGAGCCCATGCCTTAAGAAGTGTGACAAATGACTGCTAGTCTCAGCACTTCCACTCTCCCCCATTCAATGAACTTGCCCCAAGGGAGACTGTGAATAAATTATGCAAGAACAACAGGTCTAAATTAGAACTGTCCCAGGCAAACTAGGATGCATGATCTAGTTACACCACAGATGTTGTGGCAGACAATAAATTATACTTACCTCACAGCCATCCTTCTGCCCCATCAACTTCCTACTACCAGGAATCTTGATACTTATTCAGGTGAAAATCTCTTGAACTCAGGATAAGTCCTTATCTCAGCCAGAGTCATAATTATGATCAGTCTAAAGCAGTCCCGGTAATCTGACAACATTTTGCTTGGCATTAACAATACAACTCAGTCTGCTGAGGAGAACTTTCTTTTCCAAAAGAAGGCTCACGCTTCGAGAGGAGAAAATGTCTTGCCTCCTTTTCCCTTCCCCTTCTTCCTTCCTGCCTGCACTGAAGGCATAATGCTCTGATATAGAGAAGCCATCTTCTTCACCATGGGTGAAAAGCCAAATAATAAGGATGGGAAGTAGAAAGAAAAACTCTGGGCCCTTGTAACATTTCTGAGGTAGTTCATCAGCTTATTCCCAGCGTTCTTCTCAGTAACATAAAAAAAATAAATACCTATTTGTTTAAGCTATAATTATCTGGCTATTGTGTTGCTTGAGGCAAAACATGTTCCTAGGTTCAGATATACTCAGTTTATGAGCTTGGTGACATGACTTGTTCAGTAAGAAATTAAACCCACATTTAAACTCAGGCCTTCTGACTCAATAGTTTCTGTTCTTTCCATTATAAAGTACCTTATTAGTCCAAGAAACCATAACATGGTGTTACACTATCCCAAATTGGGACTGCTTCATTGTCATTATTACTGAACAATCTCTATTATTGATTGACCCTGAGATGGATTTAAACTCTGTGGTAACCAGAGTCTCCACAGGATTCATTTTTACTTTTATTACACTATATAATATCATATTACAGTTCATATTTAACAAAAAGGTTTAAATGTAATAAGAAAGGACCTTCTGTAATCACGTTTCTGTTGGCTCAAATATGCTGGACATTTTCCTGCACTGCAGTTTCAAAACCATATTAAGCAATAAACTACTTTTAAGTCATATTAAGCCTTTCTCTTCCATTCCACAAAATAAATATTCATTTTCAAAATAAGATTGCATTGATTTTCACAAAAGCATTTTAATAACATTTACTGCCTCAGCATTTTGAGTTAGAACCATGCAAAACTCAGCGGTTTTGGAGCACAGGGATAAGTGACCCCTGGCTTTCATGCTGAGTCTCCAAATAATGCAGCATCTAAAAGTGACACTTACACTGAATTGATTGTGATGCACATGGCTCAGTTGTTTAACCACCGTGACTTCCCTTTTCCCAGGTGTGTGCTTCTTCCTTCTCTTTTGCTCTCTTCTGTACATTTAAATATGATCATCACCCTGGCTTATCATTCTACCACACATAAGCATCCAGGAAAAGAGGAAGCAGTGCTTCTTTAAATCCAATGATGAGGCAGCTCTTAGGGAGGCAACAAGGACCAACAGCTGACCCTCCCGATAGTGGAATGTAGCCTGGACTGGGTCCCATAAACTTAAGGACTTGATTCCTAAGTGGTAATAAGGTTCCTGCATGCATCTTGTATGTTTTACACTGATAGTGCTTTTCAAAGGTCATTCAGTTCAATGAATTTGATACTCACAACTCTCTGAAGCAGGCAGAGCAGTATTAATTTCCCGTGTTTACAGGCGGTTAAACACCAGGAACTCCAGAGCCTGGTCAGAGTTTTTTAAATGTGACATAAACCGGTGCTAACATGACCATAGGCAGACAATGCCGTTAAGTGTAATATTTCCACTCTGTTTTCAATATTGTTACCTTAGAATTCTGAGTATATCTGACATTAACAAGTGTGAGTACACATCTCATCCAACTGATGTTAAGAGCAGCAAACCAGTAGCAGTAGGCCAGGAAGATGAGATGAAAGGTAAATTTTGTAGATGTGTAATACCAGAAAGCGTGGAAAGTATAGATATACAATCGAATTATCAAGTTCACTACTGTTAATCACCTTTTTAAATATTTCTGGAAAGCGGTGATTGTGTCACAGGAGAAGGCAAAAAGTCAGTCTGTCCAACAGTTGTAGGATAGGACAAAGTCAGGCAGTGTACAAGTTTTATTAATATGTGAGGAAAAGGTAGGGCAGACTGAATAGTGTATCCCTGGTTAAAATAGTGATTCAATTGTGACCGGTAAAAACTTTAACTAGAGTTTTCCGTGTATGTCAAGGGGATTATTCTATGACAATGATTATTATACACTGATGACAGATTATATTTGCTAATAAAGTCTTCATAATTATTTGATCATCAAAACCACTCTACAAATTCTGCCTTAGGAATTAAGGCTCATAAGCATATAATTCCCTAATTATTTGTATCATCTGAGCACATTTTAATTGAATTATTCATATAATTATGGGAGCTTGAATTTGGCCTAGGAAATAATTTCTGATTTTATTCTGTAACTCAAAGAACAGATCTGAGAACACAATTAGCCACTGTCTTCAAAAAGGCATTCTCTTAAACAATAGCTATGTTTCAGCTGCTACTGTTTAATTACCAGATAAGAAATCAAATTAGATTCATGCCAATGACAGTTCCAGATAGGAGCATGCTATAAAAATATTTCCTATCTAGGTCTAAGATGTTAAATTTGAACAGAAAATAAATGTTATATTCAACAATTACATCTTATTGGTTTGATTGATCTAAGATAGTGACAGATATTGAGGTGCCATACTTTAAAGTTTGTTGTGCCTTATCCTACATATTAAGTTTAATTTCAGCTCATATTTTAGGCTTCATAAAATGGTATTCATAATATTTAAAACAAATACATATAGTTTTTATAGTTTGATAATTAAGTTTTAAAAGTACAGTTACTTAAAATTAATTTTATTTGCATTATTTAAATTCTGTGATATTTTCTGTGACTTAAAACTGACAGTCTGAAACTTTTAAAGCCAGAATAGACCTCACTCTTTCTCTCAAGACACGAATGAAATATAACTCAGGTTTGGAAAATAAACATGAACAAAAAATCATTAAGTATAAATAGCCCACGTTTACATAATTCTTATTTAACCTTTCTTTTTTTATAGTATATATGTATAATTTAACGTAGTATGTTGGTGTAAAATTTTTGCCATCCTCCTTAAGTGATTCATAGATTTGTGTTAACTTGGAATTCTTATAACCCAACCCAATTATATGCTTCTGCCCAATTATTTGCTCACCAAGTATACCAGTTCTCTATTTACACTGCTTTCATAAAAATCACCAATGAACTTTACAATGATAAATTCAATAAAGAATACTCAATTCTTTTTTTTTTTTAATTTACCCCTCTTCAGCATTAGGCACTACTGACCACCTTATCGTCCTCCTTTTTTGACAGTTTCCTTAGCTTTCAAACACACTCTTTCTTTTGTTTGTCTCTTACACTCTGAATGTCTTTCCTTAGCTTTCTTGTTGGATTACCACTCCTTTTACCATTTAAATACTGAGGAATCTCAATGTTCCATTTGTTCATCCCGTTCAATAAGCTCTCTTTCTGGATGATCTTATTCATGCTCATGGCTTCCACTACTGACATATAGTCAATGACTCCCAAATCCGTATTCATAGATCAAAAGCCTATATATCCAAACACCTATTTAATACTTTTTATGGGAATGAGTTAGACATCTTAAATTGACGCTTCTCTACACTGAACATAAAGTTTTTTGTCACACCTGAATCTGACAGTTATCTGAGCCAAAAAATGATTAACATTCTTCCCAGTTCTTCAATTTCCTTATCTAATCAACATTACTAATTAGCTTTTGAATCTGTCCCTTCCTCTTCATCCTCTTTATCATTACGATAGTTCAAACTTTAGCCATAAATCTACCAGGATAATTGAAGAACCTTCTAACCATTCCCTCTATCTCCATTTTCATCTGGTACATACCATATCCACACAACTGCAAAGGTGATTTTCTGACACGCAAACACGAATACATTACTCTCTATTTAAAATTCTTCAGTGGCTTCTCATTATCTTTGGAATGACCTAGAAAACTCTTTATGATATGTTCTTTCAGTTTGATCTCTTGCCACATCAACTGGCTGCAATGGGGGAGGGGTCAGTTCACTCTTGCCTCTGGTTTGCATACAGTATTTGCTCAATTTGGAATGCCACTTGGCTTCATCTTACACATTGTCAAATGTTGAGTTAAAAGCATGAATTACTTGCAAAACATTCCCTAACTGTGCAAATGTGCTTACATGGCGCTCCTGAAATTTGTGTTTCTTTATAATGCTTATATTGCCTTTTGCCTTTTTGGGTAATTGAAAGAGCACCTTTTAATCTTTCTAAATCTACTACAAATTCCTAGATGATAGGAACTAGGTCACTTTTCTCTGCATTTTTAAAGGTTAGCATAATGCAGGGTATCTGGCACACAATCAACCTTTTCTGTTTCTTTAAGGATTCATCTATGAGAATCATGACAGCATATTTGTACATCAAATTGGGAAATTTTGTTTCTATTAACTATAGAACAAGGGGCATAAAGTTAAGATAATAAATTTAGTTTCCTATGATCATGACTTTTCTGTTATGGGGGAAAAATACATTTCTAAAGAAAGCTTCTGAATTTGTAAAATTAGAAAAAGTCAGCTCTGCTCTTGTTTGAATTCTAGATGAATTACTCTGTGAGATAAATCACATTGTATGTCTTATAAAAATGACTGTGGGGGCGCCTGGGTGGCGCAGTCGGTTAAGCGTCCGACTTCAGCCAGGTCACGATCTCGCGGTCCGTGAGTTCGAGCCCGGCGTCGGGCTCTGGGCTGATGGCTCAGAGCCTGGAGCCTGTTTCCGGTTCTGTGTCTCCCTCTCTCTCTGCCCCTCCCCCGTTCATGCTCTGTCTCTCTCTGTCCCAAAAAT